GGGGGATGCATGCGAGAAGGTTGCTACCTTTCTTTAAAAAAGCGACGAAGGCCAAATGCGATGAGCTTGAGGATGGCCTCGATGACAAACACCACCGTGAAGACGTAGTTGCAGTACTTGAGGATCTCCACCAGGTACTGTTTGACGCACACACACACACACACACACACACACACACACACACACACACACACACACACACACACAATGAAAGCATGTCATGTGTGGTGATGGAAGAGGGACTGTTGCCGTGGTTACCTGGGGCTGGTTGTAATGCTCCATGCTCATGGTGAGCAGGTTGGTGAAGATGATGATGGTGATGAAGAGGTCCAGGTAGTGGCTGGTGCACACGGTGTGGATGGAGAGACGTAGCGGCGAGTAGTCGGCGTAGTACGGCTTCTCCAGGGCCTCTGTGCGCACGCAAACACGGACATGGTTTATTTCGCTTCGAACAAGCTTTTGTCTCCGCATGAGTGTGTGAGCTTCACTGGGGAACACGTTTGGATTTGTAGGGACACACAATTCCCGTGGGGACACCGGTACGCATAACTCTGGGGACACGCAACTTTGGCGTTGGGGAGACAGAGATGTGTACGTTTACATTACCTTGTGGGGACATACACTTGTGTGTGTGTGTGGGGGGGGGGCACTAGTTTTGCAGATACACACAAATCTGCTGAGACATCAAGTTTTGTGGGTTCATATGACTTTTTTGGGACACACAATGGCATGGTAGCGCTCAACTTGGGCACCTAGTTTTTGAAAGAACACATTATTCTCCAAGGACACACTTCCGTGGGGACGCACAACTTTGTGGGGACGTCTCGATTTGCAGCTCGTCCAATACCCGATCAACCTCGATCTTCAAACAGACTCGTGCGGACTTGCAGATATAATGTGTCCACACCAAGTGTATGAAGCCGTACTAAAATTGTCAGTGTCCCCACGGAGAAAGGTGTGCTTGTGGCGTCGTAAATCTGGGCGGGTGAGTAATGTGCACTTAGAAGACGAGGTGTCCCCGGAGATGAATGCGTATCTACAAAGTTATCCGCGCTCAAGAGTTATGTCCCGATGATTCACGGGAACTAAACAGAATAACCAGGCACGCGTGCGCGCACGCGCAGGCTAATAAAATGCTTCGGCGAGGGACACAAAATGATATGGGAAGCAAAGTCACTGATGAAACCAGGTGACATGAAGTGCGTTTGTGTGTGTGCGGAAAAATGGCACCGCCTCATAAATTTTGCTCTTCACACACACGCACTTGAAGGTGTCTTTGGGCCAAACTGTCAGCTGCGAGTGACTGTAAGAGAAAAGCAGCATGGGCCGAGTGTGGTGGGGGAATTTAGCAGATTCAATAAATACACCCCTGAATAAATACCCCTGAGTACATCAATTCCCTAAAGATTGCGAGATCAAAATTTTCTTCTATATGACCCCAGGGAACATGTTTTTTTGCTGCACTAGAATAAAGTGTAATTGCACATCCACTACAGTAGGTGGCAATGGCAATCTCATTGTCAGACTGTGCGCAGGGAATATAAGAAATATCATTCAGCAGATTTATGTTCATTTCATTATTTTTTTTGGTGCACTTTAAGCCCGCATCCCACTGAGGTTTACGTTATATGGAGTGATTTTAACTCAAAATTTTCTCCCCATTAACACTAGTATATATCAATTAAAACTAAATTGTCTCTAAAAAAATATTTTGAAAAAACAAGCAGTTCTCAAAACAAAATTTATGCAACTGCGTCAAACATAAAAGTTAAATACAACTAAACTGGACTTAGGCAGTGATTGTTTGGCGTACCACTAGAGGGAACCCCCGTGCCACATTTGGAGAATCGCAGTCACATTTTTTTCAAAACTCAATTAAGGCCAAACTTTTCGTGTTCCGACTGCGACGGTGCCAAGACTGCCAATACGATTGCCCCAGTATGCGTCCGGGGCGCACTCACTGCGCCGGCGCTTCACCAGGCGCTTGCGCCGCTTCTCCTCGCGGAGCCGGGCCTCTTCCTCCTCCTGCTGCTGCCGACACTTGTGGAAGTTCTCCACCACCACGCCCACGAACATGTTGAGCACGAAGAAGCTGACGATGAGCAGGAAGGAGATGAAGAAGAGCAGCATCCACGGGTTGTTGTTGCGGACGGGCTGCCCAAGGAAAAACAGGCGGGAGCCCCGAGTCAGCGGTCAAAGTGGCGCAGCCGTCACAGCGCATCGATTCATCAGCCGCGGTTGCTTCCCCCCGCCCCCCCCCCCAACCCATCTCCCTCTCTTCTCCTGAAATGTCCTCGCTTTTCCTTTTTCTGTTTTTGTTGCTTCTCTTTATAATCAGATCACACGACGGATTGATTAATTAAGTGCTGAAATAATTATGTTCAAATTAATTAGAAATAATACATTCTGAAAAAAAAAAATTTAAAAAAAATGAAATAACGGATTATTCTGTATTTCAATTCATTCTAATCACCAAATTAAAATAACAAATTCGAAAGCGAGCATGACTTAGTAAATTAAGGCTGTGCGAATTCCGCCGCTTTTGTGCTTAAAACGGGTTCACTCAAACACACCCCTCAAAAAATAAATAAATAAATAAAAATCAAGTCAGGAAGGCCTTTGACGGCGGGCGTGGCACCTGCTGGTCGACGCCGACCGCGTCCAGGCCGTCGTACATGATGCTGACCCAGCCGTCTTTGCACGACAGCACAAACAGAGACATCAGCGCCTGCCAGATGGACATTTCATTTACTTCGCCGTGTGTGCATGCGCACGCGTGCGCGAGCGCTCATGCACGTGTGTCACACCTGTCCCAGGTTGTCAAAGTTGTACTTCCTGCGCATCCAACGGTGTCCTGCGTCCACGCACTGCGTCTTGTTGGTGATGCTGGTCACGTTGTAGCCCTCACAGTGGAAGAACTTGCCTTTGAATAACTGCACGCGCGCACGCACACACACGCAGATCACAGAGAAGGTAACTGGAACAACATTTTTGTTTTGCCGGGCAGCCCTTTAAAAGACCACCGAGTCATGCCGCACTCTAAGGGAGTACAGCGGTGGATTTATAAAAGTGAATTGAATTCGCTGTCATCATTTTCATCCCCCTTGACGAGTTTTGATGATCGTGTTAAAATGGAAGTTTTTTAAATGAATGAAAAGCGCTTGGGTGTGTAAAATAACTAAAAACGGCGATTTGTTTTAAAAGTCTGTTTCATCACAATAGAAGTGAAGAATATCACAACAGGAGTGAATCGCAATTGTAGCGATCGGGACCGTCGCTCGAGTGAGCCGAATCGTGGAGCGAATCGAATCCGAATTTGAAGAAATCGTACCGAAATTTGACTGCAAACCTGTCCTCATGCAGTGATCATGATTGCGAGTGGATTGGATGGATTCAAATCACAACTGGAGCGGGACCAATTCCACTCAAGCGGTAACTGAAAAGAATCATAAATTCGAATGATCGCATCGATTTGTGTTGCAGTCGGAGGTTATCCGATCCAAATCAGAGCGAGTTATCTCTTGAAGAGAATCGCAGCGTACGGTCTCATCGTTGAAATCAGTCGGTAACGGAGTTACAGTGACTCGTATCGCGATTGGAGTGAATCTGAATCGGAACTTTCAGTCAATCCCGATTCATTTTGTATTTGAACCGAGTCCTCTTGGCACCGGAGTTGAACTGGATGGCCCTTGAAGTGGATTCGATCGATCCGTATCGTAATTGCATCGCCTTGAGTCGCAGAAGAAATCGGGATCATCATAAGATTGGCCTGTATCGATGCCTCGCATATTTGTGTCGTAACTGGAGTGAATTGAATCATCCTTCCAGGGACTCGTTCATAGAATAGTTCATCGAATCGTAGTCAGACCAGATTGCATCCTTGTTGACCGGCGTGAAGATATGGTCATTAAAAATTCATTTCTTAAAAAAACGTGGATACATTCAGATTCAACAATTAGAAGATCCCACCCCCTGCGCGATTACAAAAACGAAAACAATTATCGGTCTCGGTGAGAGCAGCCCTTCCCTCGGATCGATAGCAAATCTTGCAGAAAGCACACAGCGCTCGAAAATGATGCTTCATCAGCACCTCATTTGCATGTTTCCCATTGTGCCCCCATTTCATTTGTCATCCGAAACCTCGTTTGTCTTCAAACAAGCAGTACGGGACAGCAGCGTGGAAATGCGCATCTTGATGTTTGGCGGGTGTTTACCTGAACCCCCAAAATGCCAAAGACGATGAAGAAGGCACAGCAGATGAGGACGATGTTGCCGATGGGCCTGAGCGATGTGATCAGGGTCTCCACCACCAGTTTTAGCCCGGGGGCTCGGCTGATTACCCTGGAACGGCAACACCGACGCTTAGTTGCGGCTGACAATTTTTTTGGTGCTCACTGAAGGCCCGAGTGAGATAAGCGTCATGGTAAAAAAAACATTTGCTTTTGGGTTTTCCCAGGCTCTAAATATCACCAAATCTGGGTATCACTGGCACCTCTGGGATGGGAGTTCTTTCCAAATTCAACCGCAAAAAATCGGTTTTACTTTGCAATGTGGAATTTGGTAGACATGTCTATCAAGACTTGACCCACAAAAAAGTGTCAAGAAGCCATGTCCAAAAAGATGCAGGAAGTCTGCCATTTTAGTTTGAAGCAATCATTTTGACTTAATGGCATGCTTTTTTTTTTTTTAACTAAACTTCATGTCAATTATGAGTAGGCACACACACCAAAAAAAACCTCTTCAAAAATCATGCCTGAGAGACACAGAAAGTGTATCATTTTGATTTGAATTAGCCCCTTCTAGCTCATTAGAAGCTTCCTTTTATGTTTTTGAAAGCCAGTACTGATTTGCAAAAAAAAAAAAAATTTACCCAAGTAGACCCACAAAAAAAGTCCAAAAAAGGCACAGACATTCTTAGCGCACTCAATTATTTTGTTTTAAAACCTCCGCCTCCTGTTTCACTGAACAGCATGACATGAACTCGAAATGTCAATCATGAGGAGAGCTACAAAACATGTTTCCAGACTCTCACTGATAAGCACCCTCTAATTTTGTTGTCTTGAAGCCAGTTTCATTTCGCAATTTGCTGGACCTGGAAATTGTAAGTCGACCCACAAAAAAAAAAATATATTTATATATATATATA